TATGTACCACATTTTCTTGTTCTAGTTTATCATTGATGGGCATTTACATTGATTCCATGTCTTTGCTATTGGGAACCACCAAACTTAAACAATTTGTATTTTGTACTTGTACATTCATTTGTGATCATTTTTACCAGAATAGTGGAAACACTGCACAAAACTAACTCAAAAATAGCCATTTTTGTTTCACTTCTTGATTTGAGCACCTTCTGCTAACATTGTCTATCTTCTGTTTGCTGATGGGTAAGGAAGGACTGGAAGGAAATGGAATTATGAATTTTTGAGGAGTCTGGCTCCAGGCTGAAATCCCATGTGATTTTTCAGGCCTCACCATAGGCAATGACAAAGGCTTTACCTGGTGGCCTCATGGGGGAAAGCTGCCCTCCCCATAGTAGACTTGATGCACAGCTAGTGCATTACAGTCTAAGTGGAGTTGTAATGCAGGGGTCAAACCTCCCTGGCTGGTCATGCTCTTATGCCTATTTGCATTCCTAGCCCAGACACCTTCATTCCTCGATCTCTTTATCTGAGGTCTTTGGCTGAGGTCCTCTTCAGGCACCTCTGCCAAGGCCTTTTTGTGGAGGAAGGAGTTGGAAACCTCAAAGACATTTTCCTTACTCTGACTTAGTACTAGCTACTTTTCAATTCCTAGTCCTTCCCCCTCGTTCTTCCCCTGACCGCTGAGTTTATAACACTGCCAGAACCTTTCATTTGGGGCCCCCTCAGCAGTGAGACAATCCCCACATTCACGATGATCCACCTCACCCTGAAGTCATGCAGTGTACAGTGGAGAAAAATGGGGCTGGGGAGAGTTGGTGCTTCCTCAGGTTTTAGACCTTTGTTTATGCTGTTATATCACAATAAGTGATCAAGTTTCATTTTTGGCTTGTTGCATTGATTCACTACTCTGAGCACTTTCTTTCAGCCTTCAGGTTGTCCTGTCATTCTGGGTTCTTCTACGTTATCATTTTCACTGTTAAGCGGTTGGCTAACACAGGGAAGTAACATGAATAAGAAGGGATATGATGGTGGGGTTCCTTGTGTTAAAAGAAAAACTTTAGATAAGTTAAATTTAATCAAGTTAATTGCACAATGAATGATTCATAAATCGGGCAGCACCCTGAATCAGAATAGATTCAGAAAGACTCCAGTGCTGCTGAGTGGTTGGAGAGAATTTACAGACAGAAAAAGTAAAGTGACATGCAGAAAATGGAAGTGAGGGACAGAAACACCTGGATTAGTTACAGCTTGGTGTTTGCCTTATTTGGACATGGTTTGAACAGATGGCCACCTTTATTGTGTGAAACACTTTAGCTCTATACTTTTTAATAGACTAGGCAGCAGTCTGTTTAGACATCCAGTTAGATTACAGTTCTATGTATGAAGTATGTGTGGAGAAACATTTAGGCTGAACTTACTAGGAGGCAACTTTAGGCTAAATTTAATTTAACACTTGATTGCTTGTGTTTCTTAGAACACCATTGTCTTCTTTCTACATTTGAATCAAGTTCTGGCGGACCCTCTAGGCTGTCAGTGTACCCACTCACTCAGTGGTAGACATAAAGTGCTTACTGTGTACTCTGAGTCTCAGTGAACTCTCACACTTTATGTGTTCCTGGGACATTGTGGACGTATTACCCAAATGGGCCTCAAGGAACTGTGGACAAGCATATTGCATGTATCTCCTTGCTCAAGCCCATGCTCCATTGTTACATCAGACTTCATTTAACACAAGTTCAAAGATAAAGTTAAGAATTTCAATCAGCCAGAAAAAAACAAACAATCCCATCAAGAAATGGGTTAAGGACATGAATAGACAATTCTTAAAAGAAGATATACAACTGGCCAACAAGCATGTGAAAAAATGCTCAACATCGCTAATTATCAGGGAAATGCAAATCAAAACCACAATGCAATGCCACCTTACTCCTGGGAGAATGGCCATTAAAAAAAAAAAAAAAAAAAAAAGATGTTAGCAGGGATGTGGTAAAAAGGGAACACTTTTACACTGTTGGTCAGAATGTAAACTAGTACAACCACTATGAAAAACAGTGTGGAGATTCTTTGAAGAACTAAAAGTAGATCAGTCTGCCAATTGATCCAGCAGTCCCACTCCCGGGTATCTAACCCAGAGGAAAGGAAGTTATTATACAAAAAAGATAATTGCACACACATGTTTATAGCAGCACCATTTGCAATTGCAAAAATATGGAACCAGCCCAAATGCCCATCAGTCAACGAGTGGATAAATAAAATGTGGTATATATAGACGATGGAATACTACTCGGCCATAAAAAGAAACAAAATAATGACATTCACAGCAACCTGGATGGAATTGGAGACCATTATTCTAAGTGAAATAACTCAGAAATGGAAAACCAAACTTCGTATGTTCTCACTCATAAGTGGGAGCTAAGCTATGAGGATGCAAAGGCATAAGAATGATATATTGGACTTTGGGGACTTGGGGGAAAGGGTCGGGGGTGGGTTAGGGATAAAAGACTACACATTGTGTACAATGTACACTGCTCGGGTGACAGGTGCACTAAAATCTCAGAAATCACCACTAAAGAACTGATCCATGTAACCAAACACCACCTGTTCCCCAAAAACCTATTGAAAAAAAAAGAAAAGATGGGTAATGGTCAGTTTGATACAGAAAAAGAAAAACATTTAGCTTATTTGGTTGTGTATTTTTCCTCCTTGAAACTTGGCTCGTATATGCCAGGACAAGTGTTTCAAAATTAATTAATATCATGTTCCTATATCTCTTGTGAGTTCTAATGACTTGTTTAAGCTGAAATTTTCCTATTTGGAAATCATTACTCTGTTGACGGGAGGGAATAAGTTTAAATTTCACAAATACATATGTATTGTGTCTTTGTAAAACATGTTGACTGTTGGCCAAAAAGTGTAACTTCTAGGTGGACATAGAGCTTGTCTCTCTTCACTATTGTAGCCTTTGATATCTCCCCCAATGATTAATAAATATTTGTTTAATGAATTAGAGTCTAGTCTTCTAGACTATTTTCCCATCATGATGGTTTTCATCTGGATATCTGGACATAGATTTCCTTTAAGCCACAGATAATTGTCTCTAATAATAAATATGCTCATTATTCTTTCCTTGGTGTGGGCCTTGGCTTCTATTAAGAAAATTGAAACCCTTATAAATTGATTTAACAAGGGGCCACTGTGGTTTTCCCATTTCCCCCCAACAATTTATTATGAATTTTTTTTTTTTTCTGTGAGGTGGTGTCTCACTCTGTTGCCCAGGCTGGAGTGCAGTGGCATGAACTCAGCTCACTGCAACCTCCGCCTCCCGGGTTCAAGCAATTCCCCTGCCTCAGCCTCCCGAGTAACAGGATTACAGGTGCCCACCACTATGCCCGGCTAATATTTTGTATTTTTAGTAGAGACAGGATTTCTCCATGTTGGCCAGGTTGGTCTCAAACTCCTGACCTCAAGTGATCTGCCCACCTCGGCCTCTCAAAGTGCTGGGATTACAGGCGTGAGCCACCACTCCCAGCCAATTATGAATATTTTCATTCAGAAAAGAAGAATTGTACAGTAAATACTTATACGTCTACTACCTAGATTCTATAATTAACATTTTAATATACTTGCTTTACCAAATAATCTAACCATCTTCTCATCTTTCTGTCTGTTTATTGGTCTATCTTTTATGTATACATTTTGAGAAAGTTGCAAGTATCAATACATTTCATCTCTAAAAACTTCAGAATTAATCTCCGGTGTTTCGAATGCTTTCAGGGTATGACTATATGAAATTATATGTAGACATTTGGAACAGATAACTGTTAGGAAATTAAACTCTATCACTTTATTTTCCATACCTAGATTGGAAGGATAGGTTAGAAAGGAAGAAAACTACTTTAACTCTGTATACTTTTTAATAGTTTACAGAGAATTTTCATGTGTATTATCTCATTTGATCCAATATTACTATTAGTAGTAATAGTAGCTAACATTTATGGAATGCTTACTTTGTACCAGGTACTGTGCAGGTTTACCTTTAAGGAAGGTACTATGCTAAATTCTTTTCATCCCACTTACAGTTGGTTGTCATATCTATTTTTCAAATGGATTGATTTGTTCACTTAAAAGAATAGTTTTCAACCCTGTAGTAAGCCTTTTTAATTCATATTTGTCAGCTGCTGCTATTTTTAGATTGAAGTCTTTGGTTTTTGATGGGTTCCTAGGACACAAGCATTTTCTTGGATATTTTATCCTTACAGGTTGCTATTCAGAATAGTATTTGAGCATAACTTAGGAAAAGTTGCTGAAAATGTTCCTTTTTTTTTTTTTTTGTCTCTTTATTAATCAACCTCTAATCTCAGTATGTTACATTACTTTAAAGGCACAAAATCTCATATAATCTAATGGATTATATGAGAGTGTGCATTTAATAGTTATTTCTTCTTGGATTATTAATTATTAATATTCTATGAATAATAAAAAGCAATAGCTACTTTTTGTGTATTTATTATACAGTATGCCAGTTATTGCGATTATCTTTATAATTGTCTGTATAATTTATGTAAAATAAGAGTTGAGAAGCAGAGTGGGGTTAAATGGCTTGTCCTGTGTCACTTGACTAATAAATGGAAGAGCCAGGATATGAGTGTTTCAGCTCCAGAGTCCATGTTTGACCTCTACTCTGCTGTTTTCCATGGTGTGATCCTGAGACCACCTGCTTCATAATTTCTTGGGGGTGATTATTAGATATGTAGATTTCTGAACCTTACTCCAGACCTGCTGATTCTGAATCTCTGTGGATGAAATACCTTTTTTTTTGTCATTCAGTTGATTCTCATGTACAGTAAAGTTTGAGAACCACTGTGCTATGCTTTTCTACTAGCCTTATTATGTTTTAATCTCTGTTAGCCTAGAAAAATAGCCAAACTCTATTAATCATTCTTATCCTTGGAGTATATGAAATTTTGGATTGATCATTATGCTTTTATCTTTGCTTCAAGATTGTCATGGATTTTAAGCACCCAGATGGTATTGCAGTGCCAGTTATGTTGCCTCGTCGGAGTTTGCTGGTGATGACAGGAGAATCTAGATACCTTTGGACCCATGGGTATGTATTGAAATATGACAGGATTCTTTTTACTTTATGAGACTTCTCATTCTTCTGTGTCTGAGCCACAGGGACCATGCCCTGTGCCTGCAGATTGAGACTTCTGGGTTCAAAACTCCTAGGGGCATCTATCTAGTTTTGTTTTTGTTAAACATTACCTTTTCACTTGGAAAAAAATTTTAATTTATAGCAAACTTGCAAGCATAGTACAGTGAACTCCCTTCGCCTTTCACCTACATTTACTAATTTTGAATATTTGGGACATTTTTTATTTCTCTCTCACATATGTTATCATTATTATTTTTACTGAATCATTTTGGAGTAAGTTATAGACATCATGGCTTACTCTTCCATGCTTCATTGTGTATTTCCTAAGAACAAGGACATTGTGTATGTCAGGGATTGGCAAGCTATGGCTAGTGGGCCACATTCAGCTCTCAGGCTGTTTTTGTACAGCTCTTGAGCTGTGAATGGTTTTTACATTTTTAAAGACTGTAAAACAAAAAAACAATGAAGAATGTTTGACAGAGACTACATGTGGCCCTCAGTGCCTAAAATATTCACTCTCTGGCCCTTTATAGAAAAAGTTGGCCAACCTCTGTTCTGTAAAACCACAGTGCAGTGCTCAAATTCAGGAAATTCAACATTGATAAAATACTCTTCTTGTACTCTTATACAATCCATATTCAAATATTGCTAGTTGTACGTTATAGTGCTTTAAACATTCTTTCTGATCCAGGATTCAGTCTGTGATCCCACGTTATGTTTACATCTTGTTAATTCTGTTTAGTCTTTTATTTGAAACAGTTTCTCAACTTTTCTTTGTTCTTAATGACGTTGACTCTTTTAAGGAGGCCAGTTGTGTTAGTAGAATGCCCTGCAATTTGAGTTTGTTTGATTTAATCAAAATCTAAAGAAATGAGTATGTGCTTCTGTTAGGGATACATCTTTAGCCTTTTGAGGAGAGACCATTACACTGCTGAAATTTACATATATTGTCCCTTAAAATACTGCTGAGTTCTGTACTTATTAATTCTGTTCTGCTTTGGAGCTTTTAGCTGACATATTTTTATAAAAATTCAAGGAAATGAACATGTAAATGAATTTGTAACCTGTCCTAAATGTGAGCCATTAAAAAATGATGACCTGATTTTGTGCACTGGGGCTTAAATTTATGTGTTTTTTTTTTTCGTGGCCATTAAAATATTTGCACTTAAAATGAAAAAAAAAAAATTATGATGTGATCCGTTAATTTCAGGTCTTCTTAGAATTCTGAGAATGATGACATTTTCTCTTTGGGTTCAAGCATTTTTGCTATCACTAATGTTTAAACTTCTTAAGAGTAATATTATAACAACAGCAAATACAAAATTAGAAATTACTTTTCATGTATATACTGTGAAAATATTTTAATCTATTCTGGTAATGGTACAGGTTAATTTTCCTAAAACAACATTTGATCACATTATTGTCTTACTGAAAGCATGTTGTGCTATTAAATGTTAATAGAGTTGTCTCTGGAAAGTTAGATTATAGGTAATATTTATTTTTAATCTTTTCTCTGGAATCAGAATTCTCTACAGTATTTTTAGGAAAAAAAAAAACCTCAGTATTATTTTTGAGGCCGCCATTGATACACATTGCCTGTAACGTCACTGCGTGTGTGTGTGTTAGGAAGAAAGAGAGATGGGGAAGTCGGCGAGAGAGGGAGGGAGGAAGGCAAAGAGACCAGAGGCAAGAAAGAGAGAGAGAGGTAAATGATATACCAACCACTGACATGTTATCAGAATCTTTGGGTGGAAAGGAGAATAGATTGGAAAAGCATATTTAATACACTTACAGCATGGTAAGTGTATTGACTTGATAAAACTTGTTAAAACTTTTTGATTTCTATGCTGAAAAACAAAAGCACTAGAAAGCATTGTAGAGGGACATGGATTGAAAAAAGTTAACACTGCCCTGTAATTTTAATTCCAGATACCTCAATCTAACTTTAATTTGTTCAAGTTCAAATTTACTATTCTAGCCGTCACACCTTAAATCAAAGGTGGAAGACCAGTAGCACAGGGGTACACTTACTAGTCAGGTATTTTCTGTTTAGCTGATGCAATAGTTGTCCACATGGTGGCAGTTTATTTTTTTCAGTTTTCTGCATATAAAAATTAGGAGTTTTCACATAAAAATTTGAATTTTCAGCCTCTCTTGAAAATTGAGAGGATCTGACAACACTGAACCTTAGTATTGCTTGGCAGCAGTACCTGAAACTATGTATCACTAGCATTCTTTAGGTGGGGGCCTACTTCTCTAGTTCCTTACAGTTCCTACCCCTTTCTGTTACTCCATGATCTAAGACTGAGCATCAGTTGTCATTTAACACTGTGCTTGTAATATTGTTTTTATCTTATTCAATGAAAATTGAATATTTCTTGAACTTATGTCTGTATTAAAAGTAGGAGACAGGGCTGGGTGCCGTGGCTCACACCTGTAATCCTAGCACTTTGGGAGGCCAAGGTGGGCGGATCACAACGTCAGGAGTTCGAGACCAGCCTGGCCAATACGGTGAAACCCCATCTCTACTAAAAATACAAAAATTAGCCGGGCATAGTGGCGTGTACCTGTAGTCCCAGCTACTTGGGACTGAGGCAGGAGAATCACTTGAACCCAGGAGGCGGAGGTTGCAGTGAGCCAAGATCACATCACTGCACTCCAGCCTGGGTGACAGAGCCAGACTCAGTCTCAAAAAAAAAAAAAAAGAGATGGAAAGCTAGCCTGAATGAGAATGTATGTTTCAAGAAAAATGGCACAGAACACTGCTTTTTTGAAATGAAGATTAATTCTATGTGTTTAATGATAAACAATATATTTCTAAACAGGTTCACCTGTTTCATTTATTTATGCCATCTGACTGGCCCCAGGAAGCATTATTTCGTGAAGTTATGTGAATGCTCCTTTTAACTTATTTCTGGAGCATTTTCCTTGTGCTAGGAATTGTTCTAAAAACTTTACATATATCAACTCATTTAATTTACACAATCATAGTGGGAAGTTTGTTCCATGGTTTTGTCCTTATTTTTGAAGGAAATTGGAGCATAAACAAGTTAAGTAACTTGTCACAAAGTTACTAAGTTAAGTAACAAAGTCACAAAGCAGTAAGTCTCAGAGCCAAGATCAGAAGCCTGGCAGTCTGGTTTCAGAATCTGTGCTCTTACCAATGATACTATGGCTAAATTTGCCTGCTCCCTTTTCTCTGAACTTACAGTGTGCCTTCTAACCTTCACACCTTTGCCCGCCCTGTATCTGTTAACATATAGCTCTTTTACTTCCTTCATAATTTATCAAGCTTTCCTGACTACATAAACTTGAAATAATGTATTCCTTATCTTAACTTTTAAAGTCTGTATTGTTTCCTACTACCTTGAGATGTCTCTAATATTATATTGAACTATTATTTAAATCTATAAAACTCTTTTTATATTCTTAGTGAATATTGTCCCAATTTGATTATAATTTGAGTGCAGGGGGAAAAAGATGTTTAGCAATGTTTGTGTAAATCATTACTTTAGCACATGCATTACCTGTTCTTAAACATTTGAGATTGGTGGAAAAGCAGTTAGGAACTCCTTGGCCTTTGCCTAAAGTTACACTTTAGGCAAGTGAAGTAATTGATTTAAAAGAGCCATAACAGAGAATGACTTACTCTTCAAAAGAGGAATTAGTTTGCTAACAAGAGCTTCAAGATACTTATTCCTCTAAAATATATTGACTTTGTTCAATACTGTAGTTTTAATCATTTGTAGCTATTAAAACAAAAGTAATACAAATTTGGGCAATGATTGCTTTCTTTTTTTTTTCTTCTAAAAAGTTGCCTTTAGCACAAGCTTTTTAAAAAGAGCCATTCTCCTACCTTGTTTTATGAGGCTGGCATTAATTACCCTTGACATCAAAACATGTGAAAGACATTAAGTAAAAGAAAATTACAAACCCACATCTCTCATAACAGAGATGAGAAAATCCATAACAGAACACTAGAAAGTCAAATCTTGCAATATATATATATAAAAAGAAAATATAACCTAGCGGAGTTTATACCAGTATTTCACAGTTGGTTTAGCATTTCAAAAATCAATGTAATTCATCACATTAAAGGAATAAAGGAGAAAAGGCATAATCATCTTGATTGATGCAAAAAGTATATTTGACAAAATTTAGTACCCATTCATGATAAAAACCCAGCAAATTAGGACAAGAAGGGAACTTCTTCAGTGCAATAAAGGATATTTATGAAAAACCAACAGCTGACATCATACTTAATGGAATTTTATTCCATTGAACAAGTCAGGGATATCCGCTCATACTTCTTCTATTTAATGTTATATTGGATATCTTAGCCAGTATGAGAAGTCAAGAAAAAGAATTAAAAATCATAAATATTTGAAAGGAAGGAGTAAAATTCTTTATTTGTAGATTACGTTATTGTGGATGTAGAAAATCCTAGAGAATCTACAAAACAAGTTCCAGAACTAATAAGTGAATTTAGTGGCATACAAGGTCAATATTTAGAAATTAATTTTTAGAAGATGAAATAAAAATGCTACTTAAAAAGCATCAAGACTCATAAATATTTCCTTTCCAGTACTCAGAATTAATTTATTGGGGTGTTGTTTAAAAAGCAATTAGCCTGAGAATTCTGTTTCTTACAACAGATGGAGTGAAATATAGCAATGACAAAATGAAAGTTGAGAATTGGAATACATTATATTTTTCGTTTTAGGATCAAATCCATTTTAGGTCGACATTTCTCTTTCCAGATCACCTGGCTGTTATTATAGTAAAGAGGTATCAACAACTTAAGTAAACAATTACAATTTTATATATTTTGCTGAGATCCTTCAGGATTAGCACATTCTCTGTGAATATGAAGCCTATTTCCATAGAGAGATAACCTTGCCTAGAGTAAATCAAGAAGATCTGAGTCTTAGGAATAAGTTTTTAAAAGATATGTAACACACATAGACTGAAAATTCTAGGAAAATTATTGCTATCCCTAGGAAACTTAATATGGTTAATACATCCATTGTCCCCCAAATCTATGGAGACAGTGTAATTCCAATTAAAACTCCAGAAGGCTTTTTTTTTTTTTTTTTGTCAAAATTGACAAACCAATTCTAAAATTTATGAGGAAATGTGATTGTCAAAACAATCTTGAAACAATGTTAGGGGATTTATTCTGCTTGATTTTTAAGACTTACTATACGGCTATATAGTCAAAATAGTATTGTTGTACAGATAGACAGATCAGGGTGACAGAGTATAGTCCAGAGATAACGCCACACATACAAGGTCAGTTGATTTTTGTCAAAGATACCAATGTAATTAAATGTGGAAAGGAAATTTTTCATCAGATGGTGCTGGAACAACTGAATATCCGTGTGGAAATAAAATGAACCTGAATCTATCTCATACCATTCACAAAAATTAATTTGAGGTAGATCATAGATTTAAATGTAAAAGCAAAAACTATAAAATGGTCTAAAAGAAACTTTATAAAAAGCTATTTTTGTAACCTTGAGGTAGCCAAAGTTTTTTTAAAGAGAGATTTCATAACACACTTACTATTAAGAAATAATAAATTAGACCTCATCAAAATTAAAAACTTCTGCTCATCTAAAGACACCATTGAAAAAATGAGAAGTCAGCCACACATGGGGAGAAAATACCTGCTATGTATTTATGCTTACATCTGTATCTTTATCATTCTGTATCTAACAAGGAATTGGGCAAAAGGGTTGGACAGATCCTTCATCAAAAAATGATCTATGCGTGTCTAACAAGCACATGAAAAGATGTATAACATCATTAGTCATTAGATAAATAATAAAACTGCAATTTCATACCACATGCCACTCACTAAAATGACTAAAATTTAAAACTCAGAAAACACCAAGTGTTGGTGAGAATGTTAACCAGCCTGGAACTCTCATATGTTGCTGGTTGCAGTGTAACATTGTACAACTACTTTGGAGAACCAGAAGCTTCTTACTTTATGACCCACCAGTTTCACTCCTTATTACCTGTTAAAACCCACCAATTTGACTCCTAGGTATTTTCCCAAGAGTAATAAATCTATATATCCAAAAATGATATGTATAAGAATGTTCACAGAAGCTTTATTTATAATAATCCCAAACTATGGACTTGTAATTACCATGTAGTTGTTTTTAATTTTTAAAAATCCAGTCCAGTAATCTTTGTTTTTAATTGGAGTTTTTAATACTTTTACATTTAATATATTACTGATAATGAATTTAAATTTACCGTCTATTTGTTTCCTCTTGGCATCAGCTGTCCTTTTTTTTCTTTAGAATAGGTGTTAGTTAAATGTTTATTTTAGTTCTCCCTGGAATAATTTGTTGTACATTCTTTTAATATTAGTGTCTTGAAGATAATTTCCTTAAATACTTTTATTTCCTTGTTTTTCCACAATGTCTTAACAATTCAGAGAATCCATTAGATATTTGTAATAAATTATTCTAGATTTTCTCTATTCACTTAACATTTTTAAAGGCCTGAAATATTTTTAATACAATGTTAAGTAAATTTTTTTGACTATTGCTTTTAGAATCACATGCAGAAAATTTGATACTGTTCAAGCATCTGAGAGTCATAAAAGTGGAATTATCACCAGTGATGTTGGAGACTTAACTTTAAGCAAGAGGGGACTACGAACATCATTTACATTTAGGAAAGTGAGGCAAACACCCTGTAACTGTAGTAAGTATATACTCTTATCTCTTCTGTAAAATGGAGTCAGTTTAATATAAAAGTCCTTTAAGATCCTGTCAACAACTAGGAGAACTTTTTCTGAATCTCTCTAATTGCATTTCCTGTATTTCACCTTGTATTGCACTTTCATGCACTTTTTTTCCTTTATCAAATTTATTTATTTACTTATTATTATACTTTAAGTTCTAGGGTATTTGTGCACAACGTGCAGGTTTGTTACATATGTATACATGTGCCATGTTGGTGTAGTTTCTTTTGCTGTGCAGAAGCTCTTTAGTTTAATTAGCTCCCATTTGTCAGTTTAGGCTTTTGTTGCCATTGCTTTTGGTGTTTTAGTCATGAAGTCCTTGCCCATGCCTATGTCCTGAATGGTATTGCCTAGGTTTTCCTCAAGGGTTTTTATGGTTTTAGGTCTAACATTTAAGTCTTTAATACATCTTGAATTAATTTTTGTATAAGGTGTAAGGAAGGGATCCAGTTTCAGCTTTCTATACACGGCTAGCCAGTTTTCCCAGCACCATTTTTTAAATAGGGAATCCTTTTCCAATTGCTTGTTTTTGTCAGGTTTGTCAAAGATCAGATGGTTGTAGATATGCGGTATTATTTCTGAGGGCTCTGTTCTGTTCCATTGGTCTAGATCTCTGTTTTGGTACCGGGATCATGCTCTTTTGGTTACTGTAGCCTTATAGTATAGTTTAAAGTCAGGTAGCGTGATGCCTCCAGCTTTGTTCTTTTGACTTAGGGTTGTCTTGGCAATGTGGTCTCTTTTTTGTTTCCCTATGAACTTTAAAGTAGTTTTTTCCAATTCTGTGAAGAAAGTCATTGGTAGCTTAATGGAGATGGCATTGAATCTATAAATTATCTTGGGCAGTATGGCCATTTTCACGATATTGTTTCTTCCTATCCAGAGCATGAAATGTTTTTCCATTTGTTTGTGTCCTCTTTTATTTCGTTGAGCAGTGGTTTATTGTTCTCCTTGAAGAGGTCCTTCACATGCCTTGTAAGTTGGATTCCTAGGTGTTTTATTCTCTTTGAAGCAATTGTGAATGGGAGTTCACTCATGATTTGGCTCTCTGTTTATCTGTTATTTGTGTATAGGAATGCTTGTGATTTTTGCACATTGATTTTGTATCCTGAGACTTTGCTGAAGTTGCTTATCAACTTAAGGAGATTTTGGGTTGAGACGATGGGGTTTTCTAAATATACAATCATGTCATCTGCAAAGAGGGACAATTTGACTTCCTGTTTTCCTAACTGAATACCTTTTATTTCTTTCTCCTGCCTGATTGCCCTGGCCAGAACTTCCAACACTATGTTGAATAGGAGTGGTGAGAGAGGGCATCCCTGTCTTGTGCCAGTTTTCAAAGGGAGTGCTTCCAGGTTTTGCCCATTCGGTATGATATTGGCTGTGGGTTTGTCATAAATAGCTCTTATTATTTTGAGATACGTTCCATCAATACCGAATTTATTGAGAGTTTTTAGCATGAAGGGGTGTTGAATTTTATTGAAGGCCTCTTCTGCATCTGTTGAGATAATCATGTGGTCTTTGTCTTTGGTGCTGTTTATATGATGGATTATGTTTATTGATATGCGTATGTTCAACCAGCGTTGCCTCCCAGGGATGAAGCCAACTTGATCTTGGTGGATAAGGTTTGTGATGTGCTGCCGGATTCGGTTTGCCCGTTTTTTGTTGAGGATTTTTGCGTTGATGTTCATCAGGGATATTGGTCTAAAATTCTCTTTTTTGTGTGTGTGTCTGTGCCAGGCTTTGGTATCAGGATGATGCTGGCCTCATAAGATGAGTTAGGGAGGATTCCCTCCTTTTCTATTGATTGGAATAGTTTCAGAAGGAATGGTACCAGCTCCTCTTTGTACCTCTGGTAGAATTCAGCTGTGAATCTGTCTGGTCCTAGACTTTTTTGGTTTGTAGGCTATTAATTATTGCCTCAATTTCAGAGCCTGTTATTGGTCAGATTCATAAAGTAAGTCCTTAGAGACCAACAAAGAGACTTAGACTCCCACACCATAATAATGGGAGACTTCAATACCCCACTGTCAACATTAGACAGATCAATGAGACAGAAAGTTAACAGGGATATCCAGGAATTGAACTCAGCTGTGCACCAAGCAGACCTAATAGACATCTACAGAACTCTCCACCCCAAACCAAGAGAATATACATCCTTCTCAGCACCACGTCGCACTTATTCCAAAACTGACCACATAGTTGGAAGTAAAGCACTCCTCAGCAAATGTAAAAAACAGAAATTATAACAAACTGTCCCCCAGACCACAGTGCAATCAAACTAGAAGTCAGTATTGAGAAACTCACTGAAAACCACTCAACTACATGGAAACTGAACAACCTGCTCCTGAATGACTACTGGGTACACAACGAAATGAAGGCAGAACTAAAGATGTTCTTTGAAACCTATGAGAACAAAGACAAAACATACCAGAATCTCTGGGACACATTTAAAGCAGTGTGTAGAGGGAAATTTATAGCACTAAATGCCCACAAGAGAAAGTAGGAAAGATCTAAAATTGACACCCTAACATCACAATTAAAAGAACTAGAGAAGCAAGAGCAAACACATTCAAAAGCTAGCAGAAGGCAAGAAATAACTAAGATCAGAGCAGAACTGAAGGAGATAGAGACACATAAAGCCCTTCAAAAAAATCAATGAATCCAGGAGCTGGTTTTTTTGAAAAGATAACAAAATTGATAGACTGCTAGCAAGACTAATACAGCAGAAAAGAGAGAAGAATCAAATAGACGCAATAAAAAATGATAAAGGAGAGACATAGGAACACTTTTACACTGTTGGTGGGACTGTAAACTAATTCAACCATTGTGGAAGATAGTGTGGCAATTCTGCAAGGTTTTAGAACTAGAAATACCATTTGACCCAGCCATCCCATTACTGGGTATATACCCAAAGGATTATAAATCATGCTGCTATAAAGACACATGCACACGTATGTTTATTGTGACACTATTCACAGTAGCAAAGACTTGGAACCAACCCAAATGTCCATCCATGATAGACTGGATTAAGAAAATGTGGCACATATACACCATGGAATACTATGCAGCCATGAAAAAGAAATGAGTTCATGTCCTTTGTAGGGACATGGATGAAGCTGGAAACCATCATTCTGAGCAAACTGTCGCAAGGACAAAAAACCAAACACTGCATGTTCTCACTCATAGGTGGGAATTGAACCACAAGAACACTTGGACACCAGGTGGGGAACATCACACACCAGGGCCTGTCATGGGGTTGGGGGAGGGGGGAGGGATAGCATTAGGAGATATACCTAATGTAAATGATGAGTTAATGGGTGCAGCACACCAACATGACACACGTGTACATAGGTAACAAACCTGCACGTTGTGCACATGTACCCTAGAACTTAAAGTAAAATTAAAAAATATATATATATAAAAGTAAAAAAAACATGATAAAGGGAGATATCACCATCAATCCCACAGAAACACAAACTACCATCAGAGAATACTATAAATACCTCTACGCAAATAAACCTAGAAGGATGGATGAATTCCTGGACACATGCACCCTCCCAAGACTAACCCAGGAAGAAGTTGAATCCCTCAATAGATCATGTACTTTTCTTTCTTTCTTTTTTTTTTTTTGAGATGGAATCTCGCTGTGTCGCCCAGGCTGGAGCGCAGTGGCGCGATCTCGGCTCACTGCAAGTTCCACCTCCCGGGTTCACGCCATTCTCTTGCCTCAGCCTCCCGAGTAGCTGGGACTACAGGCACCCGCCACCATGCCCGGCTGTTTTTTGTATTTTTTAGTAGAGACGGGGTTTCACCGTGTTAGTCAGGATGGTCTCAATCTCTTGACCTCGTGATCCAACCACCTCGGCCTCCCAAAGTGCTGGGATTACAGGCGTGAGCCACCACGCCCGGCCATCATGCACTTTTCTTAACCACCCTCATTAGAGTTTAGATTCTTTGAAGGTAGGGTCTGCATCTTGCATCTTATCATTTTCATTTTTTTTAAACTTAGTACTTGAGTTAGGTGCCCAATAAATACTTTACTTATTGAAGTAACAGTTAAGAGTGCTACAATTGGAGGCCAACAAAATATTACTTGTTTAAAAATAGGTACTGTTGGGAATGGTTTGTCAAGATTCTAAATTATTTCTTATTAATCCAACAGGGAAATTGGAGATGACAAATTGTCCTGTAGTACATAACTCTAGGGAGATAAGCAATAGTTTATGTTTTAGTCAATTTGAAAACTCAGAAGGGAATAAAAACTGTTCAAAAACTTGTCAAGAGGATGCTATTTTGAATTGTCTATACAAGTACGTCATGTTCTGGATTTCTTTGACTCAATTAACAGACCCCTCTTGCATTTTGTAAATACTGTTTTGTAATGATCGGGATAATAAAATCCTTTTTATATCTTGGGGGGTTTTAATTATGGGTGGTATCTACCAATAGCTTTTGGATTTAGTCATAATCTTAAAAATTTACTTCAAAACTCTTACAATATCTACAAAATGTTATCCTTTTAAAAAACTTGAAATTTCTATATTTTATATCTTGATGTTAGTGAAGCTCAAAATAACTTTTTTTTTTTTTTTTTTTTTGAGACGGAGTCTCGCTCTGTCGCCCAGGCTGGAGTGCAGTGGCGCAATCTCGGCTCACTGCAAGCTCCGCCTCCCGGGTTCACGCCATTCTCCTGCCTCAGCCTCCCGAGTAGCTGGGACTACAGGCGCCCGCCACTGCGCCCGGCTAATTTTTTCAATTTTTAGAAGAGACAAGGTTTCACCATGGTCTCGATCTCCTGACCTTGTGATCCGCCCGCCTCGGCCTCCCAAAGTGCTGGGATTACAGGCGTGAGCCACCGCGCCCGGCCATAACTTTTTATTTTACTAAAGATGTCCTTGAAGGCTTAAAAATCAAATTTTATAAGTTAAATTTTAAATGTTCATTTATTATTTGATGAATATCGAACATTGCAGATAGTGAGTTACATGGTATAGAAAAATAAAGCACGTCTCCTGTTCTTAGGGAACTTGAAGTGTAGTTGGAGAGACAAGCTAGTTTTCTTATGCAAATGTCTGTCATGGGCATTTATCAAATGTAAGAAGCTGTTATTGGGGATTCAGTTTACAGATTTTTTTTTTTAAGATGAATAATAATTGTGGCCGGCATAGTGGCTCATGCCTGTAATCCCAGCACTTTGGGAGGCTGAGGCAGGAAAATTGCTTGAGGCCAGGAGTTCAAAATCAGCTTGGACAACATAGCAAGACCCACTCTCTACAAAAAAATAAAATCAAAATTTAGACAGGCATGGTGGTGTGTGCCTGTGGTCCTACCTACTAGGAAAGCCGAGCCGGGAGGATTGTGTGAGCCTAGGAGTTCGAGGCTGCAATGAGCTATGATCACGCCACTGCACTGCAGCCTGGGTGACAGAGCAAGACCCTGTCTCAAAACAAAAAAACAGCAACAGAAAACCCCCCAAATTATACATGTTTATCATGTACAACATGATGTTTTAAAATATATAAAACATATATATTGTGGAATGGCTCAATTGAGCTAATTAACATGTACTACTTCACATACTTATACTTTTTTGTGATGAGAACACTTAAAAATTTATTCTCGGCTGGGCGTAATGGCTCACACCTGTAATCCCAGCACTTTGGGAGGCCGAAGTGGGCGGATTACCTGAGGTCAGGAGTTCCAGACCAGCCTGGCCAACATGGTGAAACCCTATCTCTACTAAAAATACAAAAATTAGCCAGGCTTGGTGGCACACGCTTGTAATCCCAGCTACTCGGGAGGCTGAGGCAGGAGAATCGCCTGAACCCGGGAGGCGGAGGTTGCAGTGAGCTGATATCATGCCACTGCACTCCAGCCTGGGTGACAGAGCGAGACTCTGTCTCAAAAAAAAAAAAGGAAAAAACAAGGTATTCTCATAGTGATTTTCAAGAATACAATATATTATTATTAACTATAGTTACCATGTTTTACACTAGATCCCTGGGACTTATTCTATCTAACTGAAATTTTGTATCCTTTTATTAGCATCTTCCCAGCTCCCACCCCCAACTGCCCCAGCCCCTGGTAACCACCATTCTACCACTCTCTATTCTGTGAGATCAGCTTTTTTTAGATTCCATGTATGAGTGAGATTGTGTAGTATTTGTCTTCTCTATATGACTTATTTCACTTAACATAATATCCTCCAGGTTTATCCGTGTTGTAAATGGCAAGATTTCCTTCTGTTTGTGGCAGAATAGTGTTCTGTTGTATATATGTACCACGTTTTCTTTTTCCATTCATTCACTGATAGGCACTTTGAGTTCGTGTCTTGGCTGTTGTGAGTAATGTTGCAGTAAACATGTGAGTGCAGATGTCTTTCTGACACACTAATTTCATTTTCTTTGGCTATATAACCCATACTGGGATTACTGGTTTATAAGATAGTACTTATTTTTTATTTTTTTTGAGCAAGGCAGAGAAGGGTTTTATTGAGTGACAGAACAGCTCTAATACAAGGGGGGATTGAACCTGAAGTGGGTTCTACGTGAGAGGGGGCCTGCAGGTGGGTAGTCCCCTATTTCTTATTTTTTGAAGAACCTCTGTTCTTACTATAGCATGGAACGAGCAAAGATTTAAAGTGAGTGTTAGACATTATTACAGAGAACAGGGAACAACTTCAAAATTAATTTGAGACAGTGTATTCTGAATTTCCTCTGTCATCAGCTCTGCTTGGTGGTGTTCTCCCTGGGATTTGCTTATTCTACTGAAGCAGGCAACATAGTGTAGTCATTGAGAATGTGGGCTCTGGAGTCTACACTGCCTGGGTTCAATTCGTGGCTGTATGACTTAGTATCTCTGTCTTTAGGAATGGTCTTAGCTTCTTTGTGCTTCAGTTTTGTCATCTGTAAGTGGATGTCATGGTACCTATCTCATTGCATTACTGTGAGAATTGAGACAATGCTTAGAAACCGCTTCAAATGGTGTTCAGTAAATCCTTGTGGTTATTACCAAATGACACTTTGCCTCCAGGTCTTGTTCTTCTGAGAGCCCTACGGTGCCCATAACTCCTATCTCCTTTACCTACCAAGGTGAATTGAGCTAAATTTTTCCCAGTTAGGCCAGACCTATTAAGATGCTTTTCTGAATAAGAGGACTTTTAATCTTGAAATTAAATCTATATATAAATGTATTTAATCTTGAGATTAAATAGGCATAATCACTAAGGCAGATGCAGAATTGTAGTCATGTATTGTTGTAAATGGATTTTCCCCATTCTTTTTATATTAGACTTATTAGGGAAGAACTTTTCCTTTTAACGGATAAATCGGAGTCTATCTACCCACCAAATTTGCACTGATTTTTTTTTCATTTACGAAAACTTGATACCGTATGAGTTATTCTGATAAAAAGGAAAGGTGTGTATTGCTTTGTTTTTCATTAAGGTTACCCTTTGGTCTGTGATAGCCAGAGGAAAGAGGCTCCTCCCTCATTTCCAGAGAGTGATAAAGAAGCCTCACGGCTGGAGCAAGAGTACGTCCATCAAGTTTATGAAGAGATTGCTGGACACTTCAGCAGCACGAGACATACCCCTTGGCCGCACATTGTGGAGTTTTTGAAGGCTTTGCCAAGTGGTTCAGTAGTGGCCGATATTGGATGTGGTAATGGAAAGTATCTTGGCATCAATAAGGAGTTATATATGGCAAGTAATGTTGCTTTTGACTTTCTTTTTGCTTAATTTGCAGTGGTTATCATAATCTTTCTTCCTCACGATATAATGCTGTTTTTTTTAGGTCATTGCCAGAAAATTATAACCAATAGATTGAATATTAATGAACACTCCCCCATTCTTTCTTATTCCTCTAGGGATTTATGGGCACACCATCGTTATATAAATTTTTTTCTCCCATTAGATTTTGCTTTCTACCACTATTATTTTATCAGTAAAACTCTCTTACAGCTATAAAACTCTTTACAGAGTGGAAAGGATTTTTATAGGAATCTTTTTTTGACTTGGATCCCCCTAAGTATGAAGACGATAAAGCTGATATTTTCATCTGTCTTTTGCAAATGAAGAAATTGGGGCTCACAGTGATCATGTTAATTTCCTGATATCATGTAATTAGGGGACATAACTGGAACTTGAACCTGTGTCTTCTACTCCAAACATCACTCATAGTAGAAAAACATTTCTATTTATTGGCATCTTACTGTTGAGGAAACTAAGGCTCAAATAGATTAAAAACTTGACCAAGGTTACAAATGCTAGACTGTCTGATTCCAGAGTGTCTGTTTTCAGTTGCTATCATTTTTTTTTTCTATGAGCCATTTTTTTTTTCCCGCTGTGCTAAAAAGTAGGATGTTCTTGTTTTAGTGTATTGTTGTAAACATATTTTAACATTGCTCTGTGAGGACTGGAGCTTCCCTTTCTCTAGATTAGGGGATTTAGGATGAGAGTAAGGGAGTAAGAAAAAAGAAGAGAGAGCAGCCAACATTCCTGGGTTATTGGAGTATGTCAGATCACTTCTCATCTTTATTTTTACTCCATCCTAGATATTGTACACCTACATGAAAAAAGTTATTACGATTGTCCCTTGGTATGTAAAATTGAAGCCAAATCAAATAATAAATAAAATGCATATTTAATGATCATAAAAGATGTAGCATAAAAGAGAAAAGTGATATACCATTCTTCTAAAAGATTACATTTTTATCACCCCTACATGAGCAGCAGTGGCTGTTCTTTGTAGGGCCATACACCTCAAATGCCTCTAGTTACAGTCACCTAGGATTCTTCCGAGGAAGTACAAACAATACATTGAAAAAAGCATATTAGTCCCTTGGTATCTGTGGGGAATTATTTCCAGGACCCTGTGGATACCAAAATCTGTAGAAGCTCAAGTCTCTGATACAAAACTATGTAGTATTTGCAAATAACCTATGCACATCCTCCAGTATATTTTAAATTATCTGTAGATTACTTATCATACGTAATACAATGTAAATGCTATGTAAATAGTTGTTAGACTGTATTGCTTAGAGACTAATGACAAGAAAAAAGTCTGTACATATTCAGTAAAGATGGAATTTTTATTTTTTTGATATTTTGCCCTGTAGTTGCTTGAATCCCTGGATGTGGAACTCATAGATACCGAGGGCTGGTTGTATTACAGCTTAGGAAATGTAGAGTTTGTACATTAACAGGCGGATAAAAGAATAGCAGTTCATCAAGACAAGACATTGATATTCATATATTGTTACCATGTTTACAATTAAATTTTAATGTATAAAGAATAAGGCCTAGTGAATTAATTTTGTTCATGTTGAAGAGGAAATAGATCTTTGATGTGTCACTTAAAATCACAGCTAACCACAGTTCAAAACAAGGTGATATTTTCTAGTGTTTTAATCTAAAGATACGTCCAAAAATGTTTCCCAGTAGGCTCTGCTTTTGCACTTTCTTGTTGATAATCCATGGTTTTATCTAGTCAGGTATGATTCATGACAGTGAAACTAGGTTGAAGTCAAATACACTGATTTAGTCATAGTGATAACATTATTCTGTTACAATTGAGAAGAATGATTTCTTGAATTATTTTTTGAATAACTTGAATAATTCAAATATATAATTCAAATTGTGTTCAGGAAATGAACACAATCTGCAGCTGATTCCAGAGGGAATATAGTTGGAAGGATTAGAAAATCATAAGTACGTTCATTCAATTTATCAGCCGCAGTCTGTACATAATTCTTTCCTATCTGTTGTTTCCCGGAGCTTACTACACTGCCTGATTTCTAGGCATACAGTACTTGGCATGTGGTAGAAGCTTACTAATTAGTGGTTTGTTCAATAATGAGGAGCAAACCTATGAATTTACCTTCAGCTTCTTACATGAAAACCAAAATATATACAGTGCTGTGTTTGGCAGCCTTGAAGGCATGTTACAACCTCAAAATGGGTGGGACTTACCGCAGGATAAAATTACCTAGATCTAGGATCTAGATTTCTCTTTTTATGTAGAATCCGGGGCACTCCTTATTCCATATGTTTTAATAACTAACATTTGCATAGCACTTCAGTGGTTAAATATTTAGTATAGATCATTTCATTTGATTCTCATATTAACCCTGATAAGTAGGTATTTTTCTCTTTATTTTTTAGATGAGGAAACAGAGGCTTTGAGATAGTAAGTAGCTCTCCTAGGTTATTCAGCTAGTTATTTCTGAAACCAGAATTCAAATTCAGAGTTTACAGGTTGAGCATCCCTAATATGAAAATTTGAAGTCTCGAATTCTACAAAATCTGAAACTTTTTGAGTAGCAACATGACGCCCAAAGGAAATGTTCATTGGAGGATTTCAGATTTTGGATTTTCAGATTAGGGACTCTCAGCCGGTATGTATTCTGCAGATATTCCCAAATCCAAAAAATTCTGAAATCTAAAACAGTTCTGGTCCCAAGCATTTGAAATAAGGGATATTCAGCCTGTAGTATGCTCTCTTCACTGTACTTTATTGCCTCTGTTTATTTCTCTGCAGTTTAAATTGTATATTACCAGTCTAATTTTCCTACAATTGCGTATTTTCTTAATAGTTTTTAAAATGTTGTATATTTTTAAAGATAAAAATAATAGGCCAGGCACAATGGCTTATGCCTGTAATCCCAGCACTTTGGGAGGCCGAGGTGGGCAGATCGCCTGAGGTTGGGAGTTCAAGACCAGCCTGACCAACATGGAGAAACCCCATCTCTACGAAAAATACAAAATTAGCCAGGAATGGTGACGCAGACCTCTAATCCTAGCTACTCGGGAGGCTGAGACAGGAGAATCACTTGAACCTGGGAGGCGGAGGTTGCAGGGAGCCGAGATCCCGCCATTGCACTCCAGCCTGGGTGACAAGAGCAAGACTCCATCTCAAAAAACAAAACAAAACAAAAAATATAACCAGCAGGGTACAGTGGCTTATGCCTATAATCCCAGTGATGAGGGAGGATCGCTTGAGGCCAAAAATTCAAGACCAGCCTGGGCAACATATCAAGATCACGTCTCCTAAAAAACAAAAAAAGTAGCCAGGCATGGCGGTGTACGCCTGTAGTCCCAGCTACCCAGGAGACTGAGGCAGGAGTTCAAGGCTGCAGTGAACATAATCGCACACTGCACTTCAGCCTGGGTGACAGAGTGAGACGCTGAGTCTAAAAATACATACATATATAAATAACCATCATTCAGAAAATTGATAAAAAGAGGTGTTTGCCTAATCCTGTCGCCTTATTGTGATGAGTATCCTTCTTGTGTTTTTCCTATTAATGTTTTATATAGTAATGAATGTGCATATAATTTGATAACTCATTTATCTTATTTCCATTCTGATATATAATCTTACAATGTTTCTGAATTTTATAATACAGTATTTTTTCTCTATTTTATTTTTAAATTCAAGTTATTAAAAATATTTTTAAAGGACAGATGAAATTATGTGTATTTATTGTATATGATACGATGTTTTGAAGTACATATACATTGTGGATTGACAAAATCTAGCAAATTAACATATATATTACCTCACAAAGTTACCATTTCGTGGGGAGAACATTTACCATCCATTTTCTTAGCATTTTTCAAGAGTACAATAAGTTGTTGTTAACTACAGTCACCATGTTGTACAGTAGATCTCTGGAATTTATTCCTCCTAACTGAAATTTTGTATCTTTTGATCACCATCTCCCCAGATTCCCACCCCTCAGCTGTCTCCCTCCCTGGTAGCTACTGTTCTACTCTAGTTCTGTGAGGTCAACATTTTTGGATTCCAAGTATGAGTGAGATCATGTAATACTTGCCTTCTGTGTCTGGCTTATTTCACTTAACCTAATGTCCTCCAGGTTTATCCATATTGTTATAAATGGCAGGATTTTCTTCTTTGTTATAGCCTAATAGTATTCCATTGTGTATACATACCATGTTTGCTGTATTTATCCATTGATGGATATTTAGATTGATTCTATATCTTGGCTATTGTATATAATGTTGCAGTAAACATGGGAGTGCAGATATCTCTTTGACCTACTGATTTCATTTTCTTTGGATATATACTTAGCAGTGGGATTGCTGGATCATATGGTAGTTCTATTTTTAATTTTTTTGTGAAGCTTCCATACTCTTTTCCCTAGTGGCTGTCCTAATTTACATTCCCACCAACAGTGTGCCAGGGTTCCCTTTTCCCCACATCCTCAACACCATTTGTTATCTTTTGTCTCTTTGATAATGGCCAGATCTAACAAGTGTGAGGTAATATCTCATTGTTTTAATATGCATTTTCATGATGGTTAGTGATATTGAGCATTGTTTCATGTACTTGGCCATTTGTATGTCTTTTTTAAAGAAATACATATTCAGGACCTTTGCCCATTTTAAAATCAGATTATTTGTTTTCTTGCAATAGAGTTGTTTGAGTTCTTTATATATTTTTGTTTTTGGTTTTGGTTTTGTTGTTTTGTTTTGTTTTTGAGACAAGGTCTTGCTCTGTTGCCTAGGCTGGAGTGCAATGGTATGACTACAGCTCACAGCCTCCTTGCCCTTGCGGGCTCAATTGATCCTCCCACCTTCTTAGCCTCTAGTAGCTGGGACTACAGGCGCACACCGCCACACTCAGCTAATTTTTGTATTTTTTGTAGAGACAGGATTTTGCCGTGTTGCCCAGGCTGGTC